AAAAAAATCAGCTTTGGGCCGGGCGCGGTGGCTCATGCCTGTAATTCCAGCACTTTGGGAGACTGAAGTAGGCAGATCACGATGACAAGAGATCATCCTGGCCAACATGGTGAAACCCCATCTCTACCAAAAATACAAAAACTAGCCAGGCGTGGTTGCGCTCACCTGTAGTCCCAGCTGCTCGGGAGGCTGAGGCAGGAGAATTGCTTGAACCCAGGAGGTGGAGGTTGCAGTGAGCCGAGATCGCGCCACTGCATTCCATCCTGGTGACAGAGCAAGACTCCGCCTCAAAAAAAAAAAAAAAATCAGTTTTATCTTTGTACATCTGCTTTATTACATGTAGTTTACATGTAGTAAAATCGCCAGTTTTCAATACGGGTTTCAGTGTGGTGGCGGGTGTGGCAGATGTGAGCCGTTGAACGACCACACCGTGGTCAGCACTGTGCACACGACCCTCCCTCCGGGAGGCCCCATCCTGCCGGCACTCCTGTCCCTGGGGCTCCACCAGTTTAGAATCTGCAGGTGGCTTCCTTTGTCAGCTCCCTGCCTCCTCAGCTCCCTGTGTTTCGGGGTTCCTCAGTGGTTCTCGCTGCGTGGTCGCCCCACCAGCTGAGGGGCTTTGAGCCCCGTGGGTTTTGGTGTGAGCGCATGGCACAGCTTCTGTTCTCCCTGGCTGTTTTTCTGTCGGGGTGAGCAGTCATGAGGACTTTGGGTGTTTTGGTCTTCCTGCTGGTGTCTTCAGCGTCGAGCGTCCTTTTAAAAATATATTTTGTCGTCTTTTGCTTTTCAATAATTTTTTATGTTCCTATCATATAAGCTCCTCAAAGCAAGGAAGCCTCAAAGTCAACTGTTGGCTTGTGTATTTCCTGAATTGGTGAATGGCATCTCGTCCACATACTCAGCTCACTTGCTTCTCCTTCTCTCATTGCCCACACATGGCTGGTGACCTCGGTCTGCCACTTCCGCATCCCTCATAGGCCTCAGACACGCCTCATCCTGGGACCCTCTCTATGCCGTCACCTCACTTCCAGCTGCCTTTGTCTCGCAGAAGCGTCCGAGCTGACCCTGCACCCTCACGCCCTGACCTCTCCCATCCGTGCTTTGCCCGTGGGTTCTGTCTGGTTTGCTCGTGGCCAGAGTCCATTCTCTTCCACATCTCTGCCTGCCTGGCTCCCTCCAGCCCCTCCGTCTCTCCCACCTTCTGGTGGGTACTCACCTTGGTTCTCATACTTTTCTCCTCTGGGACCTTGGGTACCCAGGACACACCCCTTTTTCTGCCGCCTTGGGCCAGGGGCTCAGGAGCGTGTCTTCTTCAGGCTCAGTTGCTAGTGGGTGCCCTTGCCTGCGTGAGCACTCAGGTGGCCTTGCCTCTATCTGCTGCTTTCCATGAAGTCACTGGCCGCCTGCCTGCTTCTCTGGGCTGTCTGGGACCCTGCTGTCTGGGACCCTGCTGTCTGTCTGGGACCCTGCTGTCTGTCTGGGACCCTGCTGTCTGTCTGGGACCCTGCTGCTGGGCTCTAGGACGCAGTCGGATGCATCTGCCTTCTGGGCGTGCAGCCTGCAGCACCTCTGTGCCAGGGACTTGGGTGACATGGTTCTCGGCGTCATGGCACTGTTTCCCACAGCTCGTCTGCTGCCTGATTTCTCAATTTTTCTGAGTTTCTCGCAGGCTGTTTCCTCACCTTCCGAGGGGCTCTGTCTCCATCTGCTTCCTTTCTCTTGTCTCCCTGGCTGACTTTCCCAGGCCGGTGCCTTGCAGCAGGTGCCTGTCTGCCTGCCCGAAGTTCACGCTCGTGCCTGGGCCCCTCTGCAGTCAATGTTCTTCCTGGGCCCCGCTCCTCTGTCTGCTCTCGGGTGCCATGGTGGAGGCCATGGCAACACAGGTGGGTGGCGGTGGTGGCAGGTTCAGTTAATCCGTGCAAGCAGCTGGAGTTTTAGATAAATGAATTGGAGAAATCACATGCTGTAAAACTGAGAGGGGACAGGAGTGATCAGGGAAAACCAAACCTGTCTCTCGACTCTTCCCGGTGCCGCCATCATGCCTGGTTTCCCGTGTGTCCCAGAGAGTCTGCTCCTGTCGTGTGTGGACCGACCTCCGAGCTCATCAGCAGAAGCTGGCTGACGTGAGAGCTCCTGGGTCTTAGAGACGATACAGCCCCGGGCCACCGCGGCAAGGAAGGGGAGGGGAAGCCCCGTCTGTTCTCTCACCCACGATTCCCGGAGAGCCTTTTGCGTCTGGACGTCGGGCGTGATCTTCATGGATCCCCCTCGTGGCCTTTGGGTCCATCCAGTTTTTTGCTGTCATAAACAAGGTGGATGTTTTTTTGTCTGCAGTTCCTCACCTGTGCGGTTATTTTGGAATGGGTTACCGAAAGCGGAGATGCTGGACCCGAGGGTCCGCATGTTCTCAGTTTCCTGCGCGTTGCTGGCCACCGTCCACTGGGGCTGTGCCCAAGTGCTGCCCAGCAGGCTCAGTGTCCTTCTGCTTCCCGCAGCTCCGGCTGCAGACCCAGGGGCTTGGGCCGTCGGATGGCTGAGCAGAGGCTTCCTTTTCTTTTCCTCCGTGCTGGAGGCTGCACCGCTTCAAGTGGTTGAAGTGTGTGTGTGTTTCCTGTAAACTTTTTGATGATATTTCTGCTACACTATTTTTCTTATTGATTCAGAAGAACTTGTTTGTTTTAGGGAATCCTCCTGTTGGTAAGACCAGTTGCGGATGTTTTTTCCAATTTTGTTGTTTGACTTTTGACTTTGTTTTTGGTGTTTTCCTGGTAGACTTTGTTCGGCATATGTGTTTGTAGGGATCGATTTCTTTTATGGCTCTGGGTTTTGAGTCATAATTAGAAATTATTTTTTAAAAGTCTTCCATGTTGTTTTCACAAGATGTAACTTTTATTTTTGAGACATAATTTGCTTTCAGCTGCCCTCATATGGAGTGGACGGTTGTGGAGGGGCTGATGGTGTGTCCACCTGCGTCACCTGCATCTTCCTTGGGAGTGGAGCTCCCACCACTCCACGGCCACCCTCCCTCCTCCCAGCCTGTGAGCCGCTGCCCCACCCTCGATGTGGAGCAGGGCTGCCCCTCGTGGAGGGTCCTATCCATGGAATCAGAGGGAACACACTCCTGTGTGTCAGTGTTCTTTGCTCAGTGTAGCGCGCCTGGGGCCTGTCTGCGGTGCGTGTGTCCTCAGTGCATGTGTCCGCGGTGCGTGTGTCCGTGGCACGTGTGTCCTCGGCGCGTGTGTCCGCGGTGCGTGTGTCCTCGGTGCGTGTGTCCGCGGTGCGTGTGTCCGCAGCTCCTTTTTGTGGTGAGTTGTATGCAGTGTTCTGTGGCTATACAGTTTTTCTGTGAGTTTGCCTGACATTGGGTTATTTTGAGTTTTTGACTCTGGTGAATAAAGCAGTTGTATATATTTATTTAGAAATCATCTTCATGTGGATGTATATTTTCATTTCTTTCAGATAAAGAGTTAAAAGGGAAATTTTGTATATTTTATAAGAAACTGCCAAACTGTTTTGCAAACTGGCTCTGGTTTTCCCACATCTGTGCCAACACTTGGTATTTGTCAGTCTTTTAAAATTTTACCCATTCAAGTGGGGGTAATGGTTTAACAATTAGCATTCCTGGCTGAATACTGATGTTGAACATCTTTTCATGTGTTTATTGGCCTTTTATTTATTTTCTTTTATGATGTCTCTGTACGAATTTTGTGCCAATGTTTTGTTTGAGGTTCATCTTTTTATATTGTGGTACAAGTCAGCTTGCCTGTGGATTTTCTTAAAAGTTTTTAACAGCTGTACGAGGTGTAACGGGGACACGTTCACTGTGTATGGAGTGCAGGGTTTTACCGAAGTGCAGCTGGCACACGCTCACCAGAGCGCACAGCTTCCTGCGTGTGAGGCCTGAGCACAGCCATCACCCTGGAGCCTCCCTGTGTAAATTCCCGCCTCGGTCCTCCCCCACCCGGAGGCCACCACTGACCTGCCTCTGTGGGTGTGGATTAGTTTCCCGTCCTTGAATTTTGTGTGGATGAAACGAAGCCGTGTGTACCCGTTTTGTCAGGCTTCTTTGGCTTGGGGGAGTTGAGATTCAGGTTGTGTGTGTTGCTGCTGAGTATTCGATTGTGTGGATCAACCACGGTTTGTTTTCTCCGTAGACGATGTCAGGATGGTTTCCGGTTTTCGCTGTTACACATGTTACACGTGAAGCTATGTGCACAAATGCTCTTTTCTTTGGCGTAACTGCCCAGGGGGGCATGGCTGGATCATGTGGTAGATTTGAAGAAATGGGCAAACTGGTTTTGAAAGTAACTGTGCTGAATTCTCCCCCGCAGGCCGTGCGTTCTCGTCCTTCCACGTCTCACCACCTCTTCCCTGCTGTCTCTTCCAGTGTGTATATTGCCGGCTTTCCTGAGTACACCCAGCCGATGATAGACCACCTGGTTACCATGAAGATCAACCACTGGGATGGGTAGGTTTTCTGTTTGTGTTTTTCTAAGAGGTTTTTTTTTTCCCCCAAAGGAGTGATTCAGTTGAGCTTCTAAGCCTTGAGTGTATTTTCTCACTGTGGATGTCGTATTTTAAAATAACTTCTGAGAAGTAATATGAATTCCAGTCTTCATGCGGATGTGTTGGGTCATGGTCTGTCCCCAGTTCCACTTCGGAGACCTTGGTCCAGTGTGTCCGACGTGTTGGTGTTCCCGTGCGAGTGCCCACGCTGGTGGGTTGCGCAGTGCCGCTGCGTCCGAGGGGGCGCGGGTGGAACCTGGAGGTGGAGCCTCTGTCGTCTCCCTCGGCAGGCGGTGCTTCCCCCGACTCCGCTCCACGTGGCTCCAGTGGTTTCTGTGCTGTCTGCTGGGAGCCCGGCAGTTTTTAGTGGCCGTTTTCATAATTACGGTAGCAGCTTCAGAGTTTCCTTGCATTTCATAGGCAGTTAAATGTGTCTCAAAGGAAAAGCGAAGTGCGGTCTGGAGCATAAACAGAGCGTTAGTGCCGTGACTACTGCCCCGAGGAGCTCAGGGTCCCCTCCTAGGACAGTGCCATGCTGTGGCACTCCTCACGGAGCCCTGAGGAGCGGCAGGTGCCTGTGGGTGGAGGTGGCTTTGTGAGGGTGCAAGTCCAGAATCTCAGTTTGACAGTTGGTGTGACGTGGAGGAGGTCCTTTCTGACCCATGGGGGATGCGTTTGCTGCTGCCTGGGGAGAGGCCCAGCTGCCTGCTGTGGTCCAGGCAGGGCTCTCAGGGCTGGGAGCCTCTGGGAAAGGAACTCCTGGGTAGGTAGCACTCGGGCTGCCGGGGGAAGACCCTCCCTTCCCTTCCTGGTGATCGTTCGCTTCCAGAGAAGGGTGTGAGTTCCTGACCCTCGGGGTGTCCCTGCACATGTTACACCAGAGCTCTCTCCATTAGAGTGAAAGGTCCCCTAAGCCAGACCTTGGGAAAATGAATGAATTAGTTGTATCAGCCGACTAGTCAATAACATCTTTAAAACCAGAGTTAC